GTGTGAGTGAGGGGAGGAAGAAAGAGAGAGGAGGGGAGGTGTGAGGAGACGCGGGTGCGGCGCGGCAGGGAAGAAAACCATAACCCCACGAAGCATGTGGGGAAATATCGCCTGCCTGGGGTCCCAGGCGTGGCCAGGTGGATCGGCCACTGTGCATCCCTAGGCGTAGTCGGGCCTCCGTCCTGAACCTGCATGTCCATGTCCATCGCAGGAACCGCGGCATTAGCATGGCCTGTGCCGTCGGCTCTGGAGGAGTTGGCCCTCCCTGTTCCGATGTATCCGTGTTATGCGATGATGCTTGCGTAATAACACGCGGGGCACGGCGCGACAGCTGAGTCCGTCTGGGGTAACAGCTATAGAAGACAGCCTTGCTGGAGACCGTGGCGGCACTGCAGCCGCGTCACTGCAGCTCCGTGCACGTGCGCCTCGAGGCAGATGGGGCAGCTGGTGTCGTCGCCGTCGAAGGACGCCACAGGAGGCCGAGGCGGCGGTGCAGGCGCCTGAGGCTGCGGCTGCTGTGACTGCCTCCCCGTCGCCTGCTCCTGGCTCCTCGGCTCCTCGAGCGTGCTCTAAGCGTTGTTGAGCTCCCAGACTGGGCGCCACTGGGTCGCGTCCAGGGTCGTTTCCACCATCGCGACTGAGATGCCAGAGCGGCTGTTCTGCTGCTGCCATTGCTCCCGCCCGGCGAACCAGCTCGCGATCCTCCCTGAGGGCTGCGTCAGATCCAACGGCGTTGTGGCCCTGTTGCCGAAGAGCGGCAGCATCTCAAGGGAGTTTGGAACCGCTGGGGACTTTGGACTCGGCGCAGCACGCGGAGGCCACATGGTGCTCGGACCACATGGCGCGCTGATGCCGAGGGCCGATACTGAGGGCATGTACGCCCAGTTCGGCAGCTCAACGCCCCGCGGTGGCTCTGGTGGTGGGGCCACGCGAGCATCGAGGTCACCGATCCAGTCAGCTCCCACAGGGAAGGCGGCGCCCACGTGCCACTGAGGTCGCTGCTGCTGCGGCTGCTGTGGCTGCTGCTGCTCTGGCTGCCGTGGCGCTGCTGGTGAAGATGCTGGCGCTGGCCGCGCTGGTGCTGAGCCCGCGGACCCACCGACGTAGTCGGATCTTCCGGCTGCAGGCTGCTGCTGCTGGATACGCTGCCACATGGCCCCCATCTCCGGTCGTAGTCGTCGTATTTTTTCTCGAGAGGGTTCGGGGAAGAAGTGGGGGGGGCTGAGGCTGCTGCTGGGCCGCTAGAGCGTGATGATGGGCCCTGGATCCACTGACTGTGGCCGACCTGCTGCCAGGAACCGTCAGACCCTGGTGTCTGTGGTCTGCGGGAGGCGGTCTCCGGCGTCGGCCGTCCTCCGTTCCGCGGATCAGCACCCTGCAATGGATCACCTTGGCCAGGAGAGCCGCCGACATGGTCGTTGGTTGCTCCTACCGCGGCGCCCCTGACCATCCACGCCTGGTGAGCGCTCGTCCTGGACATCTGCGCTGATGGCTCTGGTGGGCCTGATTGCCCAAGAGAGGTCAATGGAGATATAGATGATGTAGGGGGCGACGAAAGGGGGGTAGGTGTTCAGGTAGAGGGCCCGGCCGCCATAATCGTCGCCGAGGGCAGTCGCGCGCGAGGTGCCCCTCCGAGTCGCGCTCGTGGCATTTGAGGCCCTGCGCGCCTGGGCCCACGGGGTTGCCGGACCTGCCCGTGCCCATGCCGCTGGTCCGGTGCTTCCCCTTTCCCTTGCCTTTGCCCTTTCCCAAGCCCACAAGGGTCTCCCGGACCGTGGCGTCGTCCAGGTGCGCAAGGTAGGTGTGGTCTTTGCCGCGGCCTTTACCCTTCCCCTTGCGCTCGAGGACTCGGCGCACTGGGCGGGTCGGCTTGCGCCACCTGCTCTTGGCGCGCTCGTGGGCCCAGAAGAGGTGAGCCGCGCGCTGGTCCTCGGGGGCGCCGTGGAGCTCGGGGTCGTCCTCCATGATCTCCTCGCCGAAGCCCGACACAATATCCGAGTCGGTGCCAGAGTCGACTCCGCCGGCTGGGTAGGCCTCCTGCTGGCGGGGAGCCTCGGCGTGGCTGCAACTCCCACTGGGCTCGGGGGGGCTGACTGCGCCCGTGGCCGGAGGTCCTTGGTGACCCAGGCTCAGACCGCCAGCGTCATCATGGAATCTGCTGGGGTCATTCGGCGAAGGAGTGGCCAGGGACGTCTGGTTTCCTCTGGCACGAACTGCCTGGGAGAGGTTCCCAGGCGAGTTCCCCGCCGCGTGGCCGACGCGGCGCAGCTGATTGGTCACGTGCTGCAGCTGCTGCGCTGGAGGACCATGCGCAGCTGACTGTCGTCAACGCCGCGCGGGCGGAGGAGCAGGGAGCTGAGCCCCTCGAGGCCGACCGTCAGCTGACCGGCTTGCTGCGATCGGTCGCGGACGATGTCGAACCGCGTGAGGATGTCGTCGATGCGCTCCCCAGGCTGGCGGTGGAAGCCCATGAGACCCTGCGCTGCGGCGGTGTGTCCCCCCCCCAGCTGGCCCCGGCGTTCGGCCAAGCTGTGCGTCGGGAAGGTCATCGGCGGCGCCGGCTGCCCGTTGATGATACCTCCCTGGGCGGGGGTCTGGGGCGGCCACTCGTCGACGCATTCGCGCGCCATGCCAGTGAGGCGCGACGAGACATAGGACGCCTGCCGGAACTCGTTCATGTCGGAGTTCGCGACAAACCAGATCATCACCTCCCGGACCCATCGACTGAAAGGCACGCGGGCCTGCTGCTCGGCCCCCCAGGTCCGGAGGTGACGGATGTTGCTGCTGCCGCCCCCGCCTGCGCCCATGCAGGGTAGGCAGGAAATGGCTAGCAGAGCCCCAGCTATGAGCTGCGCCCACGTGCGGCTGAGGCCTCTCAGCAGCATCCCCATAGCTTCGGAGCCTGGGATCCACCGTCGTCGATGCCCCGGCAGGCTGCCTCGGAGTCGACGCGGCAAGTGGCCCCTGGCATGCTCTGCTTCGTCGGCCTCCTCGGGATTTTGGTTCGCCGAGGGGTCGTCGCGCCGGCGACGCGGGAGATTCGCGCCATGGGCGATCGTCTCCGCATTCTTGCACTGCGGCTGGTGCTGGGCGCTGAACTTGACGAAGGGCTTGGGCTCCGGCCAGTTGCGGCGCTGGACGATTGTCCCAGGCTTGGCCTTGTCGAGGAGGGTGCTCATGGGGCGCCCTTCTCTCTGCGGGCCACTGGCGCCGCGCGCGTCCCGAGTCGCCGTAGGAGCCGTCGTCGTAGCCGTCGGCGTAAACGAGGTTGTAGCGTCGGCGTAGTCGCAGTCGTAGGCGCCCCCCTTGATCTCCCCGCTGACACTGATATCGTGGGCTCGGAGAAAATCTCAAGACTGACGTCACCAGCAATAACCGCAAGCGGAAACCATGACATCTGAGACTCTGGGGTTGCCTGCGACACGGTCGCATCCGGCTCTCTCGGGATGTGCGAGACACTCAATCATGGAGTGATCGTGCGGGGCGGTCGTGGCGCCGCGCACTGGGCTCATTGAGACATCCCAAACAAGCTCGCGCTCCCGCCCTCGTTGCCCGGCGCCGTCCTGCCGGGTGCCGCCGTAGATCTTCTGGTGGTCGTACTTGCACAGGATGGTCGCGCCCGTTCCCGGATCGCCGGGTTCCTGCGGCGGGATCGGGTTCCCTGCCGCGCCGCGCGGGGAGCAACGGTACAACGCTACACTGATGAGCGTGCTGCTCGATACGCGGAAGAACACAGGGTTCATGTAGACGGAGTGGGAGAACGTTTTCATCGAGATGACACGAGAAGAATGGAACATCGTGGAAAGGAGCCAAAGCTCCGCTACCAAATACACTAACAAGTTAGGAATGGAAACGAAGAGAATGGTGGGCCCTGTTTTACCAGCGCGTATGCGGAATGAAAGGTATGCGGAGTGCTATGCAAGCTATGCGGGCGCTAAGCCTGGCCAGGCTCAGCGCCCGAAAGGCAGCGTGAGACAGGCGGGTGAAAAGGCAGGGATGGCCTGACAAGGGTCCGTTCGAGTAGGAGTAGGAGTAGGAGTAGGAGTCAAGCTAACCAGCTCGAGCGAGTCAAGCATGGCATGCCCAGTCCCACCCGCCCTCCCACAACAAAAGAAGCAAAGCTGGCACAACTGGGGGCCGAAGTCACACCGGCCAGCCGGTTTGGTACAGCTGATGCGGCCGCGATGGCGGTTGCCGACGGGAACTGGCGAGCGCGTGTTGAATGCCGCGCACGCATTGCCAGACGAGTCGAGAATGGCCCGGTACACCGCAGGAAGCCAGAGGTGGCCGGAGGAAGCCCGACGGTCTGACAGGACACCCCAAAGCATTTTTGTGAAAAAGCATTGGGTTTTTGATGTTTTTATGTTGAAATGCTTGCAAACACACGGTGTTCGGTAGGATTCTGACATGAACGCGCGAGTGTGCTCTTTGTGGTATTTTTTGCACAGGATTCGCGGCCTGGGTGCATGACAGAGCATCGCGAGTGCACCGCGCGATGACGTGAAATCGCTGGATTTGACCGAATTCTTAAGATTCCTATGGTTTTCCTATGATTTCAGCAAGAGAGCCCGGGCGGGAAATTTGTACAATTTTTGTGAAAAAGCATTGGGTTTTTGATGTTTTTATGTTGAAATGCTTGCAAACACACGGTGTTCGGTAGGATTCTGACATGAACGCGCGCGTGTGCTCTTTGTGGTATTTTTTGCAATGGATTATCGCCGTGGACGACAGGACGTCCATGTCGAGAGGAAAAAATAAGAAAAATGTTGATTTTGTATTGTTTTTTACAGGTTAGGATGGGACCCCCCGGATGCGGCCCCTAATGGCCGGCCTGAGGGGGGAGTAGGAGTATATTCTAATAAGGAATAAGGATAGGAGAGGAGAGGGAGGAGAGGAGGAGGAGGAGGAGAGGAGGAGAGAGGAGGGAGGAGGAGGAGGGAGGAGGACGAGGAGGAGGAGGAGGAGGAGGAGGAGGAGGGGCGAGGCAGGAGGAGGGAGGAGACGAGGGAGGATGGAGGGAGGCGGGCGCACCCCTTCTGTCCTCAGGCGCGTGGAAGCAGACCCTCCGCCCCGGGCCCCCCCCCGCGGCGCCCGCTGCGCCCACGCGCGGGCCTCGCGGGCCGGCTCAGACGAGGGTGAGCTGGCCGACACTGTCCAGCACCTGCGGGCGCCGGGGGCGGGGGCGAGGAAGAGGGGAGGGTTCTCTCCTCCCGTTTCCTCCCTCCCCTCTCCGTATCCTCCTTCGTCTCCTCCTCCTCCTCCTCCTCCTCCCCTCCTCCTCCTCCTACTCCTCTTTTCCTGCTCCTTATGAATAGTTCCTCCCTGTCGCACCCCGAGGCCAATCGAAGGGCGGCCCAGGCGTTTCGCCTGAGACTTTCTTGCTACCTACGATCCTGAAGCTTCGAGATTGGCAACAACTTCGCAGATGGAGGTCGGGTCGCTTCCAAAATGTAGCTCTCGCCTTAGTGCCGTACACATTCGTCTTAAGCATGTGCCAGAGCTTCTCGGATGGAGGGCGGGTCGTTTTCAACATGTAGTTCTCGCCTTAGCGCCGCGCACATTCGTATTAAACGTCTGCAAGAGCTTCACGGGTTGAGGGCGAGTGGTTTTCAATATGTCGCTCTCCCTTTAGCGCCGCGAGCCTTCGTCTTACAAGCTGCCAGAGTTTCACGGATTGAGGTCGGGTGATGTTCAACATGTTGCCTTCGCCTTATCGCTGCGCACATTCGATGTAAATTTGCGAGGGCTTCACGGATTGAGGGTACTTCGAAATGTGGCTCTCGCCTTGGCGCCACGCACACTCGTCTGAAAACATGTGCAACAGTTTCACAGGTTCCCATGATTAACGTATGAGGAACGGTATTTTTGGAGCGATTCAGAATTGCCAGGCGCAACAATTACGTTGTTCCCTTGATCCGCGGTGTCGAAGTCCCCAGAATGGCGCTCTGGCACAATTCACGATCGTCAAGACGCGAAAATCAGATTCGTGGCGTTGAATCCCGAGAATATTGTTTTCGCTAGCGTCAGGATCTCCGAACGGTTGTCTCCCAAGCGTTTTCGCCCGATTTCGCGCCCTGGGAAGCGCCGTGAAACGCCTCTGGGGCCAGCTCACCCGAGCCGTCTTTTCCGCTCACATGGGCAGGCGGCCCCAACATCGAATCGATAAGCCGGATCGGGTCGACCAGAATATCGAATCGGCAGAAATCGGCAAAAGCCAGCAGCCAAATCGAAATCGGCTGAGGTCGGCAATAAGTCCGAGCCGGATCGAGTCGGAAACCGGACCGCGTCAAGCCGGATCGGAATCGAAATCGACCCCCCCCCCCGGGGGGCGGGGGTTGGACCCCCCCCTGGGTGGGGTTCGGGGTCCCGGAGCTTTCGGACCCCCCCCGCCTGGGGGAGGTTTGGGGTCCCGGAGCTTTTGGAACCCCCCCCCTGGGTGGGGTTCGGGGTCCCGGAGCTTTCGGACCCCCCCCCCTGGGGGAGGTTTGGGGTCCCGGAGCTTTTGGGACCCCCCCCGGGGGGGGTTTGGGGTCCAGGAGCTTTTGGGATCTCCCCCCTTGGGGGGTTCGGGGTCCTGGAGCTTTCGGACCCCCCCCCCTGGGGGGGGTTTGGGGTCCCAGAGCTTTCTGGAAAACCTCTCCCTGGGGGGGGTTCGGGGATCCGGAGCTTTCGGACCCCCCCCCCCCCGGAGGGGGTTTGGGGTCCCGGAGCTTTTGGGTAACGCCTCCCTCGGGGGGGTTCGAAGTCCCGGAGCTTTCCGAAAACCTCTCCCTGGGGGGGGTTCGGGGTCCGGGAGCTTTTGGCACCCCCCCCTCCTGGGGTCCTGGAGCTTTCGGACCATCCCCCATGGGTGGGTTTGCGGTCCCGGAGCTTTCGGACCCCCCCCTTGGGGGGGGGTTGGGGTCCCGGAGCTTTCGGACCCCCCCCCCGGCGGGATGTTTGGGGTCCTGGAGCTTTCGGAAAACCTCCCCCTGGGGGGGTTCGGGGTCCCGGAGCTTCTGGGACCCCCCCCCCTGGGGGGTTTTGGGGTCTCGTAGCTTTCGGACCCCCCCCCCCTGAGGGGGGTTTGGGGTCCCGGAGCTTTCGGACCCCCCCCCTGGCGGGGGTTTGGGGTCCCAGAGCTTTTGGGACCCCCCCCCCTTGGGGGGGGTTTGGGGTCCGGTTTGGGGTCCCGGAGCTTCTGGGACCCCTCCCATGGGGGGAGTTTGGGGGTCCGGAGCTTCTGGGACCCCCCGCCCTGGGGAGGGTTTGGGGTCCTGGAGCTTTCGGACCCCCCCCCCTGGGGGGGGTTCGGGGTCCCGGAGCTTTCGGAAAACCCCTCCTGGGGGGGGTTTGGGTTTTTGGATTCCCCCCTGGGGGGTCCTCCTCCCTCCTCCTCCTCCCCTTGGGGGCCAGAGCCGGAGCGAGGCCGGATCGGCAAAAGCCGGCAGGAATCGGCTGACGCATCGAATCGGCAGAAGCCGGATCGGACAAACTCGAAATCGGAATCGCGAATCGGAATCCCGGAATCGAGTCGGTTCGAAATCGGAATCGCGGAAATCGATTCGAATCGAACCGGCGGAATCGGAATGAACCCTGCATGGGTGCTCCCCTCCTGCTCCTCCTCCTCGTCGTCGTCGTCCTCCTCCTCCTTCTCCTCCGCGTCCGCGTCCTCGTCCTCCTCCTCGTCCTCGCCCACGTCCTCGTCGTCCTCGTCGTCGTCGTCCTCCTCCTCCTGCTCCTCCTCCTGGGGGAGGAGGCACGAGTAGGCGGGAGGAGGAGGAGTCGGGAGGAGGAGTCGGGAGGAGGAACAAGCGGCATCGCGACGCGACGGCATGTGGCGCCAACGCGAGCGCAGCAACAGCAGGAGAAAGGAGGAGAAAGAGGAGAAGGAGGAGGAAGAGGAGGGAGCGGAGGCGGCGGGCGGGAGACGAGGCGCACTCCGCCCGCCGCCAGCTCCGCAAGAGTCAGGGGGCAGGAGGAGGCAGGAGGACGAGGCACGTGGCAGGAAGCAGGATGACGAGGCAGGAGTCAGGAGGACAGGCACGTGCAGGATGACGAGGCAGGGGTCATGAAGCAGGAGGCAGGAGGACGAGGCAGGAGGCAGGACGACGAGGGGCCCCAGAGCCATGCGGTGGCAGCACGGGCGGTGGCCTCGACATCGCCAAAAACCCCACCACGCGGGCCGTCGCCGCAGAGTGTCCTGGGACCTCCGAGGCCCGGGTCGCCCGAGGCGTCCTCGGAGGACGGGCCGAGTCCCAAAACCTCATGATGGACCCGGGTGCCCTCGGACGCGACACGCGGTGTGAACACCGCACCGCTCGGGACCCCCCGAGGTGCCAGGGGAGGGGCGAGGGAACGCGACGGAGGGGCGGAGGTGGGCTGCGAGGTGGGGCGCGGGCGGTACCAGGCGAAGGGGGCGGTGCGTGCATGGCCTCAGGTCGGGCCTGTCCCCCCGCGGGGGGACTTCGGGCGAAAATTCACAAATGCCCCCCAAATGCCCCCAAATGTTCAAAAATACTGGAAACATACAAGTGCCCCAAGACTATGTCTTGCCGATCTTTGGGTATTCCTCCTGTCGAAGGACAGGCCCGACTTACACCTGGCCTCCGAATTCTTGGCAGGCCGAGGCTCGGGCCTCCGTCGGCCGGCCCGAGGCGATCTAGGAACCCCGCGGCGTGCGCTCGCGGCTCTCGGCCTTTGGGGGCCCGGAGGCAGCCCGCCACCCAAGGGGGCCAAACTCGCGCGCGCTAAGCTCAGGTGGGGGCGTGTCCCCCTACAGGCGGATGTTGGACGATAGATCACACACACACACATATATATATATATATATATATATATATATATAAATATATATAGTATATATATATATATATATATATACATACACACGCATACACACATAATGACAACAATAAAGAAAAGTCTCCTGGGGAACCGCAATTTCACCGGATTGCGTTGCATGCATCCCTGAGGCGCGATGCTGGGTCGGGTTCGATGGGTGCACGCAGCCCGACCAGGCCTGCCGGGCAGCAGGCTCGCGCATTGGGGGGGGGGAGGGAGGGCAACACGTGGAGATGACACAACAAATAGTACCTGACGCGCACTCCCCACTTCTACTCCATAGCCTGTCATGGTCCCTCTGGGCACCTAGCTCTCCCTTCCTCGTCTTTTCCCTGCGTTCCGACCCGTTGAACGCTGAGGAAAAAGTCTCCTGGGGAACCGGAGTTTCACCTGATTGCGCTGCGTGCGCCCCTGAGGCGCGATGCTGGGTCGGGTTCGATGGGTGCGAGCAGCCCGACCAGGCCTGCCGGGCAGCGGGCTCGCGCATCGATCCTCCGCCCATCGTGGCGATCGCGAGCCTAGCACCCATCGCGCGCGATCCCCGAACTCTCTGGCAACCCCATGCCGTTTTCACGCCTCAAGCCAAACAAAAACGACCCTGAACGTAACCGTACATTTTGGCAAGCCTTCCCTTGAAGCGCGAGACAACGCCGACGCGACGCGGGAGACCCCACGCGAGCATTTCATTGTCTCAACCAGAGCTGGAGCAAATGGGAAAGAGAAGGGCCGAGGCCCCCCGCCCAAACACCACCCCCACCCGGATATGTGCGGGAACGAACATCGAAACAATGCAAAAGGATTATGATGGATCGAACTGGTGAGTTAGTTTTCCCCCGCAAGTGAAAGGGTGCTTCACTCGGACTCAGAGTGGTCAATGACCAGGCGAGAAATCGTTGCTTCCTCGGCCTGGTGATCTCTCAAGCATGAGAGATAAACAGCACTGTGCCACTCCCCTGCCCTAAGCGGGGCTGCAAGGGACCCGCCTGCATCTAGGACGTCTCTGGCCACCCCCCTGCGCAAGGCGTGGCTTCCCAAGGCCTCGCTGTCAGGGATGCCTAAGGCGGCCGCGTGGCATCTCAGCGTTTGCACGAAGGCGCTTTTAGCCTTCGTGCAAATAACTGTTTTGCCGGCCGCCCTGGCCACGCCTAGAGCATGCTTCGTCCAGTGGTATTCGCGCAGGCTCTTGCCCGACGATGCACAGCAGCATGGCATTGTCAACGTGCTCGGGCCGCGCACGTGTTTGCGAATTCAGTGCTATGGCAACCGTGCCGGCAGAACGCTGCACTGAGGCCGGTCCCAATCCAAGACCCACGGGGGCAATGCCCAATCTGTGCCGAG